CTGACGTGTGTGTGGTTGTGAGTAAACATCTATTACATCATGAAACTGCACTGCATGATAGCTCAAAAAGAAAAAAAAAATCTCAAACTGCAAATGAAGCAGTCACCATGGAAAAGAGCTGTTCTTAACTGCAATACCACTATTTGATTTTACAGTAGGTGACATAAACAAGTGAGCACTAAATCAGATTTTCTATTCAAATGATAGGTCTGTTAAGAAATTATCTGTTTTCATACAGATCCAGATGTGCATCCAAATATAAAGAGTGAAAGACATGTATGCAGAATTGTGGAGAATACCTAAATCCTGTCAATATGAGAACTTTGTACAGATGAATCATGCTCAACTTCCTGTGAGTCTGACACAAGAACACTGGCTTTTGGTAATTGCAAATTACGACATTGTTTCAGAGCTATAACCACAAAAAAATTGCAGTTAAACTATATTTGCACATGGCATCAAAACTGCTTAAACAACTGTATAGAACCAAGATCTGTACCAATTTATGTAAAATTCTCCATGCCTTCAAAAAATGTGGCAACCTATTCACGGAAAAATTGTGTGGAGTACGGTGAAATAATTAGTTGAAACTTGACTGGAATTGGAAGGACAGTGGCTACATAAATATTTAAAATGCTGAAAACTGAAGTCCTGATTAAACTACTAAATCTTTGGTAAAGGCAATAACAAAGGATTTAAAAACTTTTGAACCCAATCAATCACTTGGTGCTCTTGTTTACTCCCAGCTTTGACCAGCACATTTATCAAAATAAGGCATGTTATTCTCACAAAACTTTCCTTAATCCTCAAGCCTTGCACTGAAGCATGGTGGCATGTATTATTACAGCATTAACACCATCTCAAAAGCACGCAAGTGTACTTATGTGCACACACACACATACACACACTAATAACCTTGAACAAAGGAGCCTTTAATGAATTTCAGTGGAGACTGGCTTGCACGAATCAAAGCCTGCCTTTCTTTCACTAACCAAGGTTAATGTCTAACAACCCACTCCCAGATACTCTCACACACATATTTGTGTATCCATGACTTCAGAAGACATTATATTGACTTACATTAATTTCCTGGAGACATACTCAGATTTTAACAACAACTAAAACTTGTGTAATTCTAACCCTTGCCCAAAGCTTAATGTAACCTAAAAAAAAATGCCTTCACCTTACAATTTAATGACTTGAGGACTTGCTTTTTGTCCTCAAAGGAAGGACACATTCCCATAACATGACAGATTTAGGTCCCAAAACATGAGACACAACACAGGTAGAGTCAACAGACAGCTTATTGCAGATGCTGCAATGAAAAGCATTAAAACAGGCATTAAGCTGCCCTTGTGTGATGCTAAATCTCTTTCTTTCATGCACACACGCACCCAGCGATCAGGTTAAATTGGGACAGGAAAGAAAACTGATCGAGGTTTGAGGAAATGAGATGAGCTGATGCTGCTGCTTCAAGGTCAGAGTCGGATGAATCACTGTTGTGATACACTCATTCCAGGGACACTGACTGTTATAATTTCACTTTGTGTCTGGAAATGACCCTCGATTCAATCAATACAAACTGGTGTTAAATGTCTGACTGACACGGATACAAACTTTATTGTTGCTGTGGGGGGATAACCTTTTTTTTTTTTTTTGATCCTCTCTCCCTTCATTCTGAGAAGCGCTGAGCTCTTTGGCACGACGTCAAACCTGCTATACCAGCATGGAATGAATCCTGCTGCCACTGTGTGTGTGTGTGTGCGTGCGAGTGTGTGTGCTCTCTCCACATGCATTAAAAGCGGTGTCCATTTCTGCCCCACTCACAGTTTACAAAGGCTTAGTTAAGTCAGACAAAATAGCATCTAAGCAAGGAGAGCCAAGCAGGATACCACGTTGTAGAGAGAGTATGTGTGGGACAAAGAGAGAGAGCAGTGACAAGAGACCAAGGGCATGTAATGAGCCAAACTATCATCGCCCGGAGCTGATTTAGCAAATCCGTGCCAAACGCCTGCATTTGTGTGTAGTTATGCAACACAGAAAATGCTCTCATAGGAAGAATCATATCTTGTGCATCATAACAGAAGTGGAAGAAGATGCACTACACAAAACAGGCATAGGCCGTTTATTGGCCTGGACGATTATCATGGCCGATATTTGGCATTTTTCCGTTTCATTTATCTGTATTTTTATCGGACGATTATTGATAAATTAAATGCGCTATACTTCAGGTCTGATGCAGCTACCCTTCTCCATCTGTAGTCACTCTGGTCTCAGAAATGTCCTTCAAAGCAGCGGCTGCAGAAACTGAAGAAGAAACACAAGCCGTTGACCCAAACCGTAAGTTAGCTACTCTCACAGTGGCTAAGGCTACGCTAACGGCTAGCAGCTAAATTAGAAGACAGACACAAATTACTCTGAGTATTCAGTCACCATTATTAATGAAGAAGCCTAGTTATGAATGACAGGTTCTCTGCGCTCACATGCTGTTAAAACATTACATCTAATGTATATCTGTTCCAAATATCAACAAGATAACAAAATAGACTAATATTGTTAACTTGTCCCCTCAAACAACAGCACAGCTTTCCCTGTTATGAAGCAAATTAAATAATTAACAAAACTACAATTCGCACCTTTGTGTGTGATTTTTTTTAAGTTGGTATGTTCAACAACCAGCTGTAAGGGATTTTATTAGTTTGTTTCAGTGTGATTTTAGCTATTCTAATCTGTATCTACAAAAAATGTGAATTACTCATAGACACAAATCATCATCAATCACTTCAATATCAGTTTCAACATTGTCAAAATATATAAGCCTGCAATGCATTCGCATTCGCATTTGTATTGACTATGGAGGGATCAGTGCTCCTCCTCAGCGAGCAGATGTCCCAACTGTGCCCTCCAAGCAGCTCACAATGCCACAAGCCAATATTGACACACCAGTAACTGCAGGCAGATGCAGACAGATTGTGTTACCTGTGCTCACAAAGCTGTGCTGCTTCCAGAAAATAACAACAGGATACGGAGTGTTGCCACAAACGCAAAATTGCATTGCAGTGTGTGACACAAGAGTTTCACAAGCAATAAAAGGAAGATTTCGAGATGGAGTAATGTGTCCATGGTGCCCGCTGAGCTAACAGGTCACGGTGGCTGCCGTTGATTCAGAAAGCCGAGCTGGTTACAGCCATAAGAATACGCTGTAATCTTTACACTAAACAATGACATCGCGTAACTCCCTTACCATCCCTCAACACCTTTTCTGTGGTAAGCCAACAGTTGAGAAACAAACCACGTGTAAACCACAATGATATAAGTGTATTAGCAACAACAAAAAGAAGCTACATGACAGGTGGATGACTAAATGACTGCAATGAAGGAGGGACCTTTGAGATTTCAAGCTCATGGACTTTACTCTCAGCTGAGCAACGTAAAGTGACTCCAGCACAAGTTAAGCCACAATGACCACGGGGCTGCTTCTGTTTCTCATCTGTACAGTCTTTGTAGTGACAGTGAGAATGGCAGCTTTTTGTCAAATCACACAATGTGAAGATATAGCCTGGAATTTAATGGAAATCCACTGAAACTCAACTCATCCAGCTTTGTGCATGAACAAAAAGGCGTCATCCACGTGCTGACTAATGCACAATGAGTCGCTATTATGTAAATTTGACATAATGACCACCATAGACTGTATCTGTGGAACTTGTGTTGTTGTCAGGCCTGTTTTTCATCATCTTGAGTCTTAAAACTAGAACACACTTACATAAGTCACTTTGAGGTTTAAACATTTAATACAGACAAAAATGCATCATATAGTTCCTAAATATGTTGGATACATCCGGTTAATATTGCTGGTATTAAATATATAAACAATTAAGCAGATTAGGAGTGTACCTACCACTGTATTTAACTTGTTTCTTTAGCTTTTATAGGTAATAAGTGATTTGAAAATTAGGTCTGCCCTCAACTGTAATACTATAACAGAGAGGACTTACATGAATGTTTTTTCTACATTTTGGTGATACTGGTGGCTGTTAGCTTGAATAAACTTGTTTGTTTGCCAAAAAACTATTTATCATCTATTTTATACATATCTCTATTTGTTTTTTGTTAATCTCAGCTAATCAGTTATAAAGTGCAAAAATGCATAAGTTTATGTAAAGGGTGACAGCACAAGTATGTTTCTCGTAGGCAAAAAATTGTGACTAAAGAAATGTGTGTAGGTTATTGTGTAATATGGCACAACATTTATGATCATGTAGGCAGCATTAATACATATTTATAGACACATATGCCAAAGAAATGATCTATTTCGCTATTATTTCATGGGCTATGATCTGTAAATATAAATGAAATATGATATTTTCATGCTCTAATAACATTGTATTCACACAGCAGGTCACTTTTTGACTGCGTTGTAAGAATTCATTCAGTTCTATAAAGCTATTTCAACCTGTAAAAACAGCTGGATTGGTTATAATGTGGAGCAAAGAGCAGGTATAATGATGCAGGGACTTAAAGGCTTAACCGCAAATCAGTTTTTTTGGCACAACACAGCTCCATTTCATACTTGTGCTAGCTAACTTCATCACTGAAACACAGTTGGTTGCCATTGGATACAACACTTGGCCGGAGGAATTTCTGGAGCAAGTCAAGTTTACTGACGGTGTTTTGTCACTTTAACCGACTTTGCAAACGCTGAAACACGGTTTAAACACACCTTACTAACCACGACGACACACACAAAGAAAGAGAAATTCCGCGACAGCAACTCTTCTGGTCTCCAGCAGCAGTTAACTACTATTAAAACTACTCATGCTAGCCGAGGTTTGCAGTCGAGCTTTGCCTCACAAACCAGCAGCCGAAGCCGGGTCACAATAACACAGGCGACTCTTGACACCCAGTAGCAAAGGTTGTTGGTCCCGACTGTCGCAACAACGACCTTAAGATTTACGCGAACAAGTTTCAGCAGCTTTATGAGAAAAAGTCTGACTTACCTCCTCTGCCGAACTGGAGAGTGGTTTGTTTGCGGCGAGTCGGTGCCTTGGTTCGGTGTTTCAAACCGCGCTTTTTTTTTCTCCTTGTTTTTTTGCAAGAGCGTCGACTTCAAACTCTTCAGTGGGTTTTGAGGAAGTGCTGAGCTCCGCCGCTGTTTGATTCTGACTGCTGCTGCTCGGTGGCAGCGCGCGCTATGGAGGACTGGCTGTGTGACGTCAGCCAGGTGAATTCCCAAAGACGCGCGCGCGCGCGCATACAAAGTGACACATAATGATTACACAAGGATAATTTATAACGACACATCAATGGA